ATTTCATGCTTTTCCTTTATAAGAGAAAGACTAGTTAAAGCATTTTTTGGTGTCTTCCAAAAATATTTGCCTTTTTTTAAGATATAAGGCCTAAGCCCAAAGGAGTGTAGCATGCTTTGCAGGGCACTATGTGGTTAAGAATTTTACCAGAGAAAGCTGAATCACAGAACCAGACATGCACCGGCCCCTTGCCCCTCGGAGTGCTGGCTCCGGCCAGTCACCAGTGAACACTTCCCTGTGGGGCCGGAAGGCAAATGCTAGGCCAACCTGAGAAGGTACGGATGATTTGGCTCTAACTGCCATCACTTCTCCCGCAGATGAGGTGGGCTGCGTGGACCCTGACATCTGCCAAAGAATCTGCGGGGCCAGAGTGGGGTGTTCCAACATCGCCTACCCCAAGCTCGTCATAGCTCTCATGCCTGTCGGTGAGTCCCATGTCCCCACGTCACCTGTCACTCCTACCTCCCAGCCTCCTCCCATCCCCACTACCCAGGAGAAATTGCATTAAGGGTGGACATGGATGGGAAGAGGAATAAAAACAGTCACCTCCGCACCCACCTCCCAACACACACACACACACACACACACACTCTTCTCACAGGTGTCTATAAAGCACTGTGTCCTGGTCCTGGAGATGCAGGAATACAAGGCCAGCCCCTGCTCTCAGGCTCCACTCAGTCTCCGGGGTGCCCGGGCTCGCAAGGGCACAATACAATGAGACCAGTGTGAGGACACAGTGGAATTGGGGGAGGCCTAGGGAGTCACCTGACCCACTTTGGAGGAATATTGGGGAAGGTTTCTCAGAGGAGAGGAGATGCAGTTGAGTCCCGAGGAACGTCTCAGACAAAGGCAGAGGCGTGTGGGAAACGTCATCAGGAAGGAGGGGCTGCGTGTGCAGAGGCCCAGGGCTGGGGCAGAGTAGGAAGTGTGATCTGAGAGTAGCTCCGTGTGGGCTCACATGCAGGAGGGCTGAAGACAACCACTGTGAGAAGAGCTGGTGGCCACACCTCGTTCCGGAGTGTAGCCTTTACTCTAAGGGGGTAGAGAGTCGCTGTGGGTTTTAGGCCAG